GGGAAGTGTCCTAGGCCCTCTTCTCTTTTTCTCATATACATAAATGACCTACCAAATGCATCGCAACTACTCAAACCCACACTATTTGCAGATGACACTACATACGTCTTCTCTCACCCGAGCCCAGTCATGCTAGCCAGTACTGTAAATACCGAATTACAGAAAATATCTACCTGGATGAGGACTAACAAACTCACTCTAAACATTGACAAAACCTACTTCATTCAGTTTGATAACAGAGCTACAGATAAACGGATCACCTATCACAAAACTCACAGAGGGAAAATTCTTAGGAATCCGCCTTGATAATAGACTCAAATTTTGAACACATATACAACAAATTTCCAAAAAAATTTCCAAGACCGTAGGCATACTATCGAAGATACGGTACTATGTTCCACAGTCAGCTCTCCTGGCCCTATATCACTCCCTTATTTACCCCTGTCTCACCTATGGAATTTGTGCATGGGGCTCAACAACAATAAACCATCTCAGACCACTAATTACCCAACAAAAGGCTGCAGTCAGAATGATAACAAATTCCCACTACAGGCAGCACACTCTACCAATATTCAAAACTCTAAACCTACTCACCATACAAAACATCCATACTTATTACTGCACCTACTACATACATAGAACACTTAACTCTGACTTTGTAATACTCATTTGTGCTAAATTGTTATCTGTTTACAATAATGTTTTTACCACTGAATATATCATTGCTTAGTTAATCTTAAGTTAAATTTAACCCTTTCAGGGTCCGTCCCGTAGATCTACGGTTTTACGTTCAGGGTCCAAACCGTAGATCTACGTCATGAGCTCAGCTCGCTCTGATAAACTGTGAGTGGTAAATTTGGGCCTAGATATGAGAGAATACATCTATGTGGTATGTGTGCACCACATAAAACAAATCCTGCAGCACACTGTGTATAATGAGAGAAAAAAAACTGAGACCATGATTTTCGATTAAAACAGCGACTTTGCAGTGTTTTTTCGTATGTTTTTTATAGTTGTATTTGTGATTTCTTAGTCTCATTTGATAGAATGGAAGACATATTACAGAAATAGAGATAATTTTGATTGGTGTTAGCACTGGAAATGGCTTGAAATTGAGCTCAAAGTGGCGGAAATGTTAAATTTTTGCCGATGTTCAAGAGTAAACAAACGACCTCACACGTCTAATACACGCCAGCTGGTGGATCTAATATACATTCTCAAATGTGGTGATGATATTTTATACAATTATTACAATATTGCATAACAGTAAATCTTCTATTTTTTGGTGTGAATAAAAATTCATTATGTGAATAAAAAATCAAAATGGAATTTATTTGTAAAGCCTCAAAACATAACTAATGAACAGAGGAAATGTTAGTTTAGTGCCAGGAATGCCTACATTGTTTATTCTGGACCCTATTTTGAAATTGGAATATTTTGAACTTTGTGTTAAATTGGCCAAATTACCAATTTCCGGTCACTCTGTTTTGTAGTTGAAACAGTTGACTTGGCGATTTCTTGTGCTCAATCGATAGAATAGAAGTAATACTAGTGAAATAGCTGAGAATTTGGTCGACTGGAATAATGTAATTGGCCTAAAATGGGAGTCAAAGTCGGCAAAATAGCCGATTCGTAAATATCGCTGACACATCAAAATTCACGAGAGCATAATTTCGTCAATTTTTCATCAAATTTCGTACTTTTTGTTTTATTACATTCACAAAAAGATTCTCTACCATTTCATAAGAAAAAATAAAAATTTTTTTTTTTAAATTCTTGGACACTGGGGCACCACTTCAGATTTTGGCCTTGGACCCTGAAAGGGTTAAGCCTGCCCATAATGCTCTGCATACAAGGGGCTTTGGTATGTTGCACTTTAATAACTGTATTCCTTTGTACTTCTCTGTATCATGTTCAAATTAATAAATAAATAAAAATAAATAAATAAAATAAATAAATATATTGGCCTTTGTTAGCTGCTCTGTTATTTTCAGCCTTTGCCTGTTTGGGGAGCACCTTTCTCTTTCTAGTTTACATCTCCACCTTTTTCTTAAAGGAATATGCCTTGAGCATACCTCAAGTGCCACGGAGTTAATTTGTTCTAGACATAGGGTAGGATCCGTGTTGCTTAGTCTATCTTCCCAGCTTATGTAATTTAAGACTTGGTTTACTTGGTCTCACTTTATGTTTTTGTTAATGAAGTTGAATTTGGCGAAGGCTTCCTTGTGACTGATCATATTTTGTCGGTCTGGGGCTCCTCGCATGCATGTCTGGACCTCTATTATGTTGTGATCTGAGTATTTTGTTTTAGATGTGATGACATTTCATATCAGATCATCATTGTTAGTGAAGATGATGTCCAGCATATTCTCCAATCTTGTAGGCTCTATTATTTGCTGGTTCAAGGTGAATTTGGTGCAAAGATTTAAAAGCTCGTGTGTGTGGGAGTTTTCATCTGAGCTGCCTCCTGGTGTTATCTCTGCTATAACATTATTTGCTATATTCCTCCATTTTATATGCCTTAGGTTGAAATCCTCTAAGAGCAAGATGTTGGGGCAGGAGCTGGAAGATTTTCCAGACAGTTGACAATTTTCAAAAGCTGTTCCTGGAATTGTTGGGACGTTGCATCCGGAGGCTTGTATACAACCACAATGACCAAATTTTGGTTCTCGATCTCTACTGCTAAAACTTCAACTACATCATTTGAGGCATTTAGTAGTTCTGAGCATATAAGTGACTTGTGATATACAGGCCAACCCCCCATCCTCCATTTTGCCTGTTCACTCTGTCACATCTGTATAGGTTGTAACCCAGGATCCATATTTCATTGTTCAAGTGAGCCTATATGTGGGTCTCTGTGAAAGCCGTGAACATTGTATTTGACTCCGTAAGCAGTCCACGGATGAAAGGTATTTTGGTATTTCTTGCAGGCTTTAGATCCTGTATACAGTGGACCCCCGGTTAACGAACTTTTTTCATTCCAGTAGTATGTTCAGGTGCCAGTACTGACCGAATTTGTTCCCATAAGGAATATTGTGAAGTAGATTAGTCCATTTCAGACCCCCAAACATACACGTACAAATGCACTTACATAAATACACTTACATAATTGGTCGCATTTGGAGGTGATTGTTAAGCGGGGGTCCACTGTATTTGCAAAGATAAATGTCGTCAGATTGGTGGTATTGGTGGTATGGGGGGTCTTTTTTCTTCCTGTTGTGTTGGAGTGGAGACCATCGACTGTGATTCCACTCCAGAAATTATTGAAGTTGGTGTACGATTTCTGTCATTTCCTGCCAGCTTTTTTTTTTCTTCCTGGCACTAAAAAAAAAGTCTCTCTGGAGTGGCTGTGGCTACCCAGGTTGTCCCATGGTCTAGATGTTCTGTCTTCTTGTACCCTTTAGGTGGTGTGCCTGGCAATATAAGTTATAGCACTGTCTTTCCTGAACTGAAGAGTGGCACATTTCAGGGTGGAAAAGCTTACAGGAGGGGAGGTTGCATTTTTCTGTTTTCATATGGACACGGCATTTTCTGGGGTGGTCAAAGGTGCATGTCCCATCTGTTTTTCCAGATATTCCATGCCTGCAGATTCCAAACACATAGTATTTGCATAGACTTGGTTTCTGTTTGCCTTTTTTTTTTTTTTTTTTGTGACTGTATTCCCTACTGGTGCATGTTGTCCTGTCTCATTTCTAACTTTAGGACTCACGAAATCGTAATGACACGATTGCAAACAAATCATACCACGGGCGGAATTTGAACCCACGGTCAGAGAGTCTCAAAACTCCAACGGTCTGGAGTTTTGAGACTCTCTGACCGCGGGTTCAAATCCCGCCCGTGGTATGGTTTCTAACTTCAGCACTAATGCTAACAATGGAGCCTTCATCAGTTATATCTGGTAATTTATCTTCACTATTTCTCAGGGCATCCCCTTGTTTATTATCTCCTGTGGTTTTGTTAGTCTGTAACTTTGTTTTTTGCATGACCTCATCCTTGTCTACACCTGATTCCCCCCTAGATCTCTTGTCCTCTTCCAGGTAACCCTGGTTTATTTCTCTATTCTTACAGTTACTGTCTACCAGGACATATTTGTACCAGGGGTGATAGCATCCTCTAGCCCAGATTTTTTGTTTTCCCAACTGTTATAGAATGCTGTCATGTTTTTTATGAAGGCTGTTTTGATGTTATCTTTATTGTCGTTGTGATTTTATTCCACAGTTCGGTGTCATTTGGGCATACCCAAATCACTTCCCTGGTTTAATATATCTTGTAGATGATTCCTGAATACCTGCACAAGGGGCGTGACTCCACTCACCACAGAAATTACATGTAATCCATGCAGAAGCCTGTTTGTTTGTTTGGTTGCACTACACAGGATTTCGTGATGTGATTCTATTGTTGTTTTAATGTATATTCTACTACAGTACTACTACTTATAGGTAGTTAAAAATGTTAGTAGTATATATATACAACCTAGGGAGGAAACTACACTCCTAATAAGTGAGTTGTGAAAATGGTAGCCTTTAATTGTTGTTAATAGGTGGATTCCTGGTCTTCCTTTTTTCAGTTCTCCATTGAACATGCAAGTTTAGGAATGATCTCTACTTCTATTATACTATTAGGTCTCGCTCCAACAACAGTGTAGAAATGCCATACATACAACACCTCTGGGTTTTCATCCATTTCTTGATCTAGAATGTCTATCTTGTTTTTCCTCTTATCTCCATAAGGAAAGTGGAACAGATTGTATCTCCGTAGCCATGGTTTTGTATGCTGACTAAAATGCGGAGCAAGGGGCTAGTAAACTCTTCTCCTGTATATATTACTAATGTAAGGAGAACACTTGTTTTTCCTTTTGGGCCACCCCGCCTCGGTGGGATACGGCCGGTGTGTTGAAAGAAAGAAGTACTACTACTACTACTACTACTGTACTTGTAGAAATAAAGATATTATTATTATTATTATTATTATTATTATTATAAGCTTGTTTTGTATTGCAGGAAACTACACTCCTAATAAGTGGCGGCAGTTGAGCAAAATTGGTAGCTTATATAACTATGCTCTGGTTGAAGTAGCCGCCTCGGGACTCCTAGGTCCTCATACCTTCATTATAAAAGGTCAGATTAAACTCAACTATATGTATTCACTTATGCATGTTTGTAGGGAATGAGCTCTACATTAACTATTAAGTGACTAGTGTGATGGCTTCTCGGCTCCTCTAACCAACAGGGTTAGAATGATTGAGACCATAACATAGCAATACAACCTAGGTGTGCTGAATGATAGGCAGCCTACAACTTGATAAATTAGACACATGTGCAACACTTGAGGAAACTTTTTGCCACACAGTGGCTTCATCAGTCCATACAAAGAAGAACATTGAAGAACAGGAGGAGTTTGAGGTAATCAGTCCCTCAGCCTGTATATGCTGTATTCTTGAAAAGAATACAGCATATGTGCATAGAAGTAGCTTATATATTGTAGGTAGGAGAGGTGCAGCAGTTGTAGGTGGTGTCACCTATGACTGCCACACCTACAGGAAACTCTTCACCTACAGGGGATTCTTCACTTGCCTAACCCTTGGGCATGACCTACTTCCACATTGGACAAATGTGATACCACCTACGACAGAGTTTACATCTAGTTTGATTTTATTATAGGAGTCCTGGAACTAAATGATTCTGTTTTTAAGTGTGAGTTTATAGGGAAATGCTTGCAATTACTGTGTCTATTTTAATCTTGCATGCATGTTCACATAGTCAACAACATTCGTCAACTATCTACGTGTGTTGTTGCTACAGTGAATCTGTCTTACTGTATTTCAGAATATCCATTCGAGATTCAACTGTTTAATCAGTTTAAGAAAGATCTCCAGCGTGAATTTACCTTCGCTCCAGAATACACAGCCAGAGTGAGTAACTATCATGTTAATATTGTACCAGTACAAGCTTCCTTTTCTTTTTCCCTCTGTATCACCTCTCAAAATAGAGGAATGTGAAGACAAACTTCTCCTCAATATGTCTCTATGTAAATTTAGCGATAATGTGTCCTCGCCACAGGTAGGTAACAGCTTCTCCTTCCCAAAAAGTCTCTCTTCGATTCCCGTTGGGGAGGAGAATCTATACCCTACAATTGCCACCTCTACTTCCCCACGATGCTGTCGTATTATGTGAAAATTAAGCCAGCAAATGGAGTAATTAACGACTCCACTGCTCCGTTTTTTTCCTCAGTGAGTCTCGCGTGGGACAGTCACGCTCGGTTGTGCTTCATCAAAAATTGAGTGTCTTGATAGTAGCAGAGGGAACAGAATGTGGGAAATAAGCGTGTGCAACCATAAAGTGCATATACTCCTTTGAACAAACGAAAAAGGAATATCAGCGAACACTAAATAGAAAAATATGGGTTACAGTGTCACATGGAGAGTGCCGGTGGAGGAAAGGTTACTGTGGGAATAGACCTGACCAGCACTAGTGAATTATTGCCGGATGTTGACACAAATGGAAATAAACAGATATTGAACTATCTATAAGTAATATAGTGAGTGACAAAGACATATATGTGCAGTGACATAGTGAACTAAATTGTAGATAAGAGTAATCTTAATTATCCCCCAGTGTAGCATACAATATGTGGTGTAGATATGGGAATATCTTACAAGCGACTGGCACTAGCAAACTATTGCCAGAGGTCCAGTGAAGTGTTAAAAACGGATGAGTAATTACTATAGTCATAAGAGATAAAACGAGTGATGGTAGCATTGAGGTGCAGGGAATCACAACATACATAAATTGAGCATACAATCAATGGAAAGGCATATGACTACCGTGTGACGTGTTTTTTCTGTTACCTCTACTAAACAGGAAATAAACTTTTCCATTGAAGTGTAGGGGAAAGTTGCCATAGGCCTAGCTGCTGTGTGAATAATAAAACAGTGATCCCAGTATAACGCAGTGAAAAGTGTATTTTGAAAGAATACAGTGTATATCCTTGAGATAAACAGTGTACAGCACTACATAAAAGGAAATTAAATAATAATAATAATAATAATAATAATAAAAACAATAGTAAAGTGTGGCAGTGTGGGTAAGTCTTGCCCTGGTGTTGACATATGACAAGTGATACACATTCTACAAGGTTTGAGCTACAAGGTTTGAGTTACAAGGTTTGAGTTACCACATATAACGAATAGACTAGGATACCGAGACATAATAGAAAGACCTAATGAACCTAAATTGTCAGCGGTACAACACAAGGATAGTGATTAACATAATGGAAATGGCTTAAACTGAATGTGATATCCCACAACAGAAGTGCATAACATACGTCTGGCATCACTGCAGGCAGCCACTCAGGCCACCCTACCCACCCCTACCCACCCCTACCCACCCCTACCCACATACCCACCCTACACCCACCACCCACATGTTGCAAACTTGGTTCGTATAAATACATCTTGCATATTACTGGCACCAGCAAGAGAAAGGTAAAGTGGAAATCAGTTTTCTTCCGTGGCATACAGAGTGTAGTAGGATACAGACAGGATGTCAGCACAGCATATCTGTGGGACATGTGAAAAAATCCTTGGAAAGAAATCCAGAATCACATGCAACCTATGCTTTTCCAAACACCATATCTCTTGTACTAGACTAAATACAGCCTCAAAAAATGACCTTGAACTAGCAAGGTGTTTCTGGTTATACAATAAAGATGTAGAACTTTGGGCAGGTATCAGAAAGGTACTAAGGAGAGTAATAAATGATAAAAATAATCAAGAAAACAAAGATGACCTCTTGGATAGTCTACCAAAAATATATAAAACATGGGAGAAAGAGACAGTGAATCAAAAAATGCAGAATGCCCATACCACAACAGATAACTCGAAACTATCTAGTCACCCACATAGTGCTAAACCAGACCCATCCCCCAGCCATAGCACTAATACCCACAGTGCTGGTGCTGGCCCAGGCTCAGCCCCCAGCCCCAGTGCTGACTCAGTCCCAGCCCCCAGCCTTATTGCCAGCCCAGACTCTACTAGGGACCCTACCACAACCACCACTAAAAACGTAAATATACAACCATCATTGCACAAGACCGTGGCCCACAGTACAGACGTAGGAGAGGAGTCACTTTCTCCTTCCTCTACTGAGGAAAGTAGATGGAATCCAGGATGGGGTGGCCTTGTCTTGGATACTGAGGATTATAGTGCAGTCTCAGAACCTGCAGAAATTGGCAACACACCTCCCAACAATTCTCAACCAAAGGTGAATTTGTGCAAATATTATGCTTGGGGCATTTGTAAGCATGGAATATCAGGAAAAAAAATGGGACATGCAACTTTGAGCACCCCAAAAAATGTAGCGACCTCCTGTCTAAAGGAGTGTGTCGTTCTTCTTCCTGTACTTTCTTTCACCCAAAAATGTGTCACTCCTCGGTCCTCCAGAAGCAGTGTTACAACATCAACTGCCCTGCATACCATCTAAAAGGGACCAGAAGACAAACAATAGTAGCTACGACAACCCAACTCCGGGTGATTTTTTAGTGGCAGGAAACGGAAAAAGAAAATGGAAGGAAATAAAAAATAGTCTACCACCTTGGAGCCTTGTTGGACTGGAGGTGCAGCCAGTGGCCACCCATGGCCCTCCAGAACTACAACTACTGATGCCAATAACAAAATCCCCCCAACAAACACAGAATACAACCTCGTTCATATTTGCTAATATACAGGGCCTTAAGCCGTCCACCAACAACAAAATACCTTTTATCAGTGGACTTCTAGAGGAATGTAATGCAATGTTTGCATCCTTCACAGAGACTCACACAAAAGATCACTTTGACAGTGAAATATGGATAAGTGATTACAACCTTTTTAGATGCGACAGAAAGAACAGGCAACAAGGGGGGTTGGCCTGTATGTCAAAGAGTCCCTCATCTGCATGGAGTTGCTGAACACCACAAATGAGGTAGTTGAAGTTCTATCAATAAAGATCGCGAGCCAAAACCTAGTCATTGTGGTTGTATATAAGCCACCAGATGCAACCTCCCAACAGTTCAAGGAACAGCTACTGAAAATTGATTACTGTCTGGAAAACCTTCCAGCCCCATCCCCAAACATCTTACTGCTTGGTGATTTCAACCTAAGGCATACAAAATGGAAGAATGTAGCAAACATTGTTATAGCTGAAACAATTCCCGGAGGTAGCACAAATGAAAGGTGACACACACATGAGCTACTAAGTCTCTGTGAAAAACACTCCTTAAGCCAGCAGATAGTGGAGCCAACAAGACTAGAAAACACACTTGACCTTATCTTCACAAATAATGAGGACCTGATAAGAGACATAAGAATATAAAAAACAACTAATTCCGATCACAACCTAATCGAAGTCCAGACATACATGCATAGGGGTCCTGATCAGCAGAATGCATGTACCTGTGAAGGTGTCTTCACAAAATACAACTTCAACAACAAGAACATGTTGGGAAGATATCTTAAATGACATGGATCCAAACCAGTGCCTTGAAAGGATCAACTTCCTGGCAGCTGAAGCATGTTCTAGGCATATTCCCCTAAGAAAGAAGAAGAGCAGGAGGAAACTGGAGAGAGAAAGATGCTCCCTCTACAGAAGATGACGAAGAGTCACTGAGCTCCTCAGGAGTGCTAGAATATCTGGTACACAAAAGGAGGTGCTGACCAGGGAAGTGGAAACTATCGAACTTAAGTTAAATGACTCTTACAGGAACCAGGAGAGACAGGAGGAGCTTAAAGCTATTAGTGAAATTGAAAGAAATTCGAAATATTTCTTTTCATATGCCAGAAACAAGGCAAATACCACATCTAGTATCGGGCCCTTACTCAGACAAGATGGGACTTACACAGATGACAACATGGAAATGAGTGAAATACTGAAATCTCAGTATGACTCTGTGTTTAGTGAGCCACTAATCAGTCTGAGGATTGACGACCCAAATGATTTCTTCATGAATGAGCCTCATAACTCCATAAACATATGCCAGATTTCCGACATTACCCTAACTCTGATAGACTTTGAAAAAACCATTGACAACATGCCCATGCACTCAGCCCCGGGCCCAGACTCGTGGAACTCTGTATTCATTAAGAACTGCAAGAAACCCCTCTTGCGTGCCCTAAGTACACTATGGAGGAGGAGCTTGGACATGGGTGAAATTCCACAGTCACTTAAAACAACGGATAAAGCCCCACTCCATAAAGGTAGCAGCAAAGCATTAGCTAAGAAATATAGACCAATAGTTCTGACGTCCCACATCATAAAAATCTTTGAAAGAGTGCTAAGAAGCAGGATTGCAAAACACCTGGATTCCCAAAATCTGCACAATCCAGGGCAACACGGGTTCAGGGCAGGTCGCTCCTGCCTCTCACAACTACTGGATCACTATGATATGGCCTTGGATGCACTGGAAGAAAATCAGAATGCAGATGTAATATACACAGACTTTGCAAAAGCATTTGACAAATGCGATCATGGTGTAATAGTGCACAAAATACGTGCTAAAGGAATAACTGGGAAAGTGGGGAGATGGATCTTCAACTTCTTAACAAATTGAACACAAAGAGTAGTGGTCAACAGAGTTAAATCGGAGGCTGCCATATTGAAGAGCTCTGTTCCACAAGGCACAGTACTCGCCCCCATCTTATTCCTCATCCTCATATCAGACATAGACAGAGATATACACCACAGCACCATATCATCCTTTGCGGATGATACTAGGATCTGCACGAGGCTGTCATCTGCTGAGGACATGTTTAACCTCCAAGAAGATATAAACAAAGTTTTCCAGTGGGCAACGGAAAACAATATGATGTTCAATGAGGACAAATTCCAACTACTCCATTATGGAAAACTGGAGGACATAATAACTAGAACAGAGTAT